AAAAGGTACGTCTGAGACACATTGTTTTTCTCAGGGTGCTTTTACGTGGGCAAAATGATATCTGGCTATTTGTTTGTCTAAAAACCCAGTAGGCATGATCCAATTCGGGTATGCTTTCTATTGTTTTTTAAACCACTTTTAAATGTGTGAAGATTTTAAAATTAGACATCTGCCAGCATAAGTATACTTCAGCTAGCAGGATTGTCAACGCACTCCTAAGGGAAGAACTGTAGTGAATAAAATAGCAGAGGATCTGCTATTTCCTGTCATGCTGTCTGGAGGGATTTTGTGGGAGACTGAGAGGACCAAATTTTGCCTTGTCAAAATGTTCCTGGGAAAATCTGAAGGAAATTGAACTGTGCCTCTGTTTTTATTACACCAGTTCCGGTATTTTTTTATCTTGGGCTTCTTTAATCGTATGACCTACGTGCTTGTTTCTTGTAGAGGAGAAAGAACTCCACATACTCATCAACAATGCAGGGGTTATGATGTGCCCCTATTCAAAGACAGCTGATGGCTTTGAGATGCACTTTGGAGTCAACCATCTTGGTAAGATTGCTATACTTTTCTACTTGATCAGTTTTTCTCTTAGAAAGTTCTCTTTAAGATGTTTTCCTCCTTTTGTCTTGAAATACTATGAGAGGTTAGAATCTGGGGTGCATGTAAAAATTGGAAAGATTTATGCGCTTTCACAGTGGGGGCAAGCAGGGAGGACAAGTGAGGAAATGAGTGTTTCAATGTTACAACGCTAGGTGTGCCTCTCTTGTACATGAATTGTAATGTTGCACGCACATATGTCATTTTTCTCAAAGAGATTACATATCTGCTGTTCTGGTTCTTGATCACACTATGAATTGCATGCTGAGCATTTTTTTACGCATCAGATTTTTCATGGAGTTAAGGAGCTATTTGAATGCCCATACTCCTTAGATGACTTCCATAACCAGGAGGTAACCATGAATCTTCACAAGAGTAAAAGCTATTCAGGTGGAAGATACTGTTGTGTAAAAGTTATTTCAAGAGCATAGGATGAAGTCATCCAGGATGTTACAAAGAATGCTAGAAGAACCTCTAGGCATCTCTTGCTTTGGTTAAAGTCAGTGCTCATGATTCCTTCATCAGAAAATCACTGAGAAGAAATGGGATTCATGAGACAGTAGAAAGGCAAAAGTCATGGGTCCCCGGGAAGAACGTTAATGGTTGTCTCAACAATCCCCTGGATAGCCCTCCAGATTTCTGAAGGATTGTTCTACGAACATATGTCAAAAATGTTCTTTTCAGGCTACTTGGACATTGGTATGCCTGGCAGAACGAGTGCATACCAAGACCTCATACCACCTGTCAAGCATGGAGGAGATGCTTTGCTATCTCCATTCTGCATGACTTGCCATTATTGAAGAAAGCATGGAATCTGCTTTATATCAGAGAATTCTGTGGCTGAATATCAGACCATCTGTCCATCAGCTGAAGTGCAAGTGGGTCATGCAGCAAGGCAGCAATCCCAAACATATGAGCAGGTCTCCAATTTGAAGAACAAATTCACTGCTTTGGAATGGGCAAGTCAAAGTCTAGACCTAAAACTGTATAGAAATGTTACGGCAGGACCTGAAACTACAAGTTCATGCTAGAAAGCTCTTAAATCTTACTGAGCTCAGCAACCAGAATCTAAGGGGCAATTACTTTTTCACATCT